TTTTCTCCATCTGCAGTAGGTTCAGTCTGGTGCACAACATTAGCCAAATTCAAGGTTGTCAGATAAAACAGCATTTTCTGCTGCCATCGTTTGAAGTCTCCGCCCTTAAATTTCTCAGGCTTCTCAGAAAGAGGTTTAGTTCCAGATTGTTCCATACTGTTCGAAGATTGTTGGAGAACAATTTAGAAACAGAAATAACAGAAATACAGAACTTGAAATATTTATACTTTATTACTCAAAAATACTTGCAATACAGAATGATACACAACGACTACAGAAAATTAAATATGAGAATATCAAAAGTACTAACTTGATTACAGAAGGTAGAGGCTAGCGTAAAAGCTATGTCCTTCGAACAGTAATTTCGTCCCACTCTTGTGCTTGTGGTTCTACAACGTCTGCTCGACCAGGATACAACTACCTAATCCTACAACCCGCACTGGATTATAGAATTCTAGCGAATTGCTTTGTGTGTTTACTCTCTCTGGAAAGTTTGTACGGAAGAAAAGGAAGAAGAAAGGATGATCGATGATGAACTGAGGACTCCAGTTATATAGGCTCTTTCATACCTCTTCAAATACCTTTTGGATGTATCTGAAACTTTACAACTCTTTACAAAAGGTTGTATCTTTAATCAAAACGTTTTTAATTAATTTAATTAAAAACTTAATTCGAAATTAAAACTAATTGATCAGATTAATTTTAATTCTTAGGCCCCAAGTGCCCCAAGGCCCTTGTCTTGATTAATTAATATTAATATTATGGTATAATCATCAAGCCCAATCCACAGAAATGGTGGCCCAAGCCTCAATTCCCATTCCAAGTAGTCCAACACATAACCAATATTGTAGAAGACAAAAAGTATATAAAGGTACTTTGGAATCTTGTTTTCACCAATGTGGGACAAGAGTCTCAAAACTTCCAACATCAGGTACTTTGATGCTTCCATTTATGAACCCCAACTTGGACCTTCCACCTAGCACCAAAGACACAGCTCTCGACCAAGGCAAGTAATTAAACTCATTCAACACGACTGAGCTTAATCTTTGATTTGGGTTGACGTCCACCTCATGCACGTTCATGGAGGAAGGCACCTGTGAGCTTTCAGCTTCGGATATCAGCAGATTATCTTCAGACATTTTGAGGGTTGAACACGCTCGAATAGCAGTATAGCAGACGCAGGTTAATTTTCCTGCTCTGATACCATATTGATTTTCAAGGATTGAATTGTATTTCACTCATAAGTTCTTTTACAATTGTACAACAATATATAAGAGGATTAACCTCTTGCTTTACGCCACAACAGGTGGCTTAGGAAAAATAAATAACAGCCCCTTAAATTAAGGGAGTTGACAACTTAGATTAAGAAGTTGACACCCTTGAATTAAGGAAGTTGTCTGGCTTAGGGAAAATAAATAACAGCCCCTTGAATTAAGGACCGTAAGCTTCCCTTAATATTCAGAAACCGACTTCCAATAGTTTGCTTGAAGTGGGAGTCTTGCCTCACAATGGACCTCACAATGGGTTTACCTAAGAGCATTTGTATGGGACTAAAGTTGGTGGGACTATTTTTTATGCAGATGGACATAGACACACAGCTCCAGATTTGCTTCAGTATGCAGACCTAGAAAGATCACTGTTTATTTGCATGCAACTGTGCAAAAAATGTTGTTTAGAAACATTCCCGGTAAGCGTTTACTAACCAGTTGGAAAAATCATATTTTTATATAAAAATTGTAGAATATAGTTTTATTGTTTAGCAGTTAGCTTATGGTGCTACTTTTTGTGCAGGATGACTAAGACCACAAGCTTCTGGTGTGATTTATAAAGATGCATATGGTATTAGGCACCGTGCATACCTAAAGAGGAACTCAAAGAAGAATGGAATCGTCTTATCAGTCCGTGTGATTGGAAGCACTTAGTTGTTGATGCTGAGCGGTGTGGGGGCCTGCCTTCCATTTCCGAGCCCACGGCATCTAGGTGATAGCGGACTGCCCCATGGTCGGCCAGGGGATGGCGGATAATCCAATGAATATTCTGCTCATTCCTTCACCTCAACCAGTTGAGGTCTCCCTCGTTCAAGTTGTGGGCATCAAACAGTTTGGAAGCTACATTGAAGGAGCTAGCGGATTGACCCTTTCCATTCCTTCGGCTCATAGGCCACTTTAAGCACTTTTTGAGTCAGGTTTCCATTTCTTTACTTCTATTCTCGTCTTGCCAGCCTTTGCATTTTGGGCTAAGATATTAAATTTTTGGGTAAGTTTCATCGGGCCCAATTACCATAGGTAGGGTTACAAACAAATGATCAATAGGCTTCAAGCCATAGTTTATACAACTTGATATGTATTATTATTCTCAAGCTATATTTTCTATGAAATATTTTCAAATGATTCTATATAGTTTTAGATATAACAAAATGAAACAATTCGCCATCTCAATTTGTTTTCGCTTTTGCAGCCTGAGCACCATCCTTTTAGAGCTTCACCAAAAATCATGGCTTGGGCAGTTGATACTGTAAACGAAATTGTCAATAAAACTCTCAGAGCCGGAGTCATACTTGAAAAAATCATGGGTCCACTCTCCAGAGGCCATCTAGCGCTGAGGAACACAAACCTTAATGACAATTCATTTGTCACCTTTAACTACTTCAAAGAACCAGAGGACTTAAGGAAGTGCATTGAGGGAATGAAGACCATTATCGATGTTGTGAACTCCGATGCCTACTCAAAGTTCCGTTACAAATACATGCCGGTCGAAGCTCTCATTGACCTGATGTTGGCTTTACCGTTGAACAGAAGGCGAAAACATGCCAACGTTACATTCTGTTTGGAACAATTCTGCATAGACACTGTATTGACCATATGTCACTATCATGGAGGTTGTCGAGTTGGGAGGGTTGTTGATAAAGGATATAGGGTTCCTGGCATTGATTCTCTTAGGGTGGTTGATGGATCGACGTTTTATCGCACCCCGGGTACTAACCCTCAAGCTACTGTTATGATGCTCGGAAGGTAAGTGTGTGTGTGTGTGTGTGTGTGTGTGTGTGTGTGTATATATACACATGTGGAATAGTCATGTTAAGAAAAATAATAAAACTGGCATTTTTGTTTTGTTTTTTTTTTTTTTTTTTGTATGTGGTGCAGGCACATGGGACAAAGGATTCTGCATGATGGATTACTCCGTGGATCGAAGAAGAAAAACTGATCTGATCACCCTTGTTTCCCAAAGAGAGTAGATTAATGATTGTTGGAATACATGTCACTCAGATATTTGATTAAAACATTGTATAGAATATAGATTGGAACCTTAGGAGTTAATAATCTATATTGTTGTTCTCATATTTTATTTTCCTATCAAAATATATAATTTCCAATTAGCTAGCCCCCTTGTGATTATTCAGTTCACTAAGACTGTTGATGCACAAAACCGGAGGGGTCTTGGAACAACGTAAATCCGACCGTGAATCTGCAAGAAAGTAAATAATACAAGATGTATCGTGGTTCACCCCAATGTTTGGGTTACGTCCACACTGATATTGTATTTATCCGAGATGTTGAAGAGGGAAAGAGAGAGCCTCTTAATAGAGAGTGAGGCTTTTGAGGGTGGGAGTCAGGCCTAAGGATTGGCCTTTCCCAATGAAGAGAGTGAGGAGTCCTTTTATAAAATAAGGGCTCCTCACTTATTACATATTTGCCCCTTCATTTATTACATAATTACATTTGAGTCCCCCAAGTATTTATACGAGATCTAAATACGGAGACCCTAAGTATGATATAAACAAAGACCAAAAGGTAAGCATTTCCGCTTCTGTTTTAAGAGAATAGATAGGAAGGAAACAATTAGGTGCGGATGCTAGAAATTGTAGATAGAATTTGATGATCTAAAGGCTGCTCATGCTTCATGTTGTGTGTCATCTACGAGAAAATTTGCACTTCGTCTGTTGTTCCTTTGTGACCAATAGGTCACGGGCTCGAGTTATGGAAACAGTCTCTTTGCAATGCAAGAGTAAGGCTGCATACAAATGCACAAATACAACAAACGTTTCCCCTCTCCCAATCCTCACAAAACAAAGAGCTTTGTTGACTCGAGATCACCATTTATCCATTGCATGAAACTAGTGTCTCACATTTGTGACATCATAATTCATATGAGTAGTACATGACCATAAATATAGACCCCATTGCAAGAAAGTTGTTTTTTCGAGTGCTAGCTAGGCTTGTTCTAGTTGTGATCATTTTGAGAACTGACTTGTAAAAGGAAGATTGAAAATTTGTATCAAATAAAGAAATGCATTGCTCTTAATCATGGTTTGGTTGGAAAGAGAAATATACAGACACACTAGGTAAGACTGAAATGAACACATGTCTAACTAGCAAACTACTAAAGTTAAATAAATTTGGAGATTCAATAATGATGGCTAATTTCATTATAAAAGTGAGGAAATTTTGTACCCAAGACACAAAATGCTAATAATATACACATGAAAAATGTTGGTTAGGTCCAAAGCTCGAAACCTTCTAATATAATTACACAAAAAAAAAAAAAAACATAAAACCACGAACATTTGATAGGAAAAAGAGAGTAGAGGGATAACCTGAGGATATGCTATAAAGCCACTGCAAAAGCAGCCCTTGATGGATGTCCCCAAAGCATAATCCTTTCATCTACTTTCTCCTGCTTTCAACTTCATTGCATGGACTCAGAGAGTGGAAGAATCTCACATGAAAGGATAAGGCATTTTCAAGGCTCAGATGAGGAGGAGAAAATCTAGCAACAGGGAATGAACTCCAACCAAATAAAGCCTCTGCAAAAGCAGCCCTTGATGGATGTCCCCAAAGCATAATCCTTTGGATATGCTGTTTCTGCTAACTACTTTTATTCCGTCTCTTCGACTTTTAGTATTTGATCCCAAATCAAACAACTTATATAACACGTACCGGCAGGGTCATCGTTGAAAACCCAGAAGCAGAAAGCAGAAGCAGCTATGCAAGAAGTGCTTGTCTAATAAGCAAATCAGTCATAGGGCTCCTCCCTCTTGGCAGGCACTGGTATGGTGCAACTACAGTCACTTTCATTGACCTGCCAAAGGAGAGTTGCCCTGCGATTGCTTTGGCTTAATGAACTGTGCAGTCTGATCATGCGGCAGAGATGCAGTGCATACGAATACTACAAGGTATAATAGCCAAGGTTGACTATCCGATATACGTAAGTGTTTTGTACATACTTGGTACAGCTTTAGTGAATTTATTTTGGGTTGTTTATGTAGTTTCAATTTTTTCATATTGCCTAATAAGTTTGAAATCGTATGAATTATGTCCTTGAGTTGGTTGATTGTCTGGTCCTTCAATATTAAATTGGTATTCTGGCGAGGCATGGAACCGATTTATAGGCTCATGAACAAAAAAGCCCACCGTGTAGCTTCGGCTTAAATCAGTGCGTTATCCCAGAACGACTTGTACAAATGGTGCGGTGTGGCCTATACACCCAGCTCAGAAACAGGTCCTACATATGACACGTTATTAGCTTAATGAAATTTTGGACGTCCCAACATATGAAAGATATAAATTGATGCAAACTCAATATTTCAAGGTGAAATAAGAAATTTGAAACCTCATAGCTTATTTCGAAAATCATCTCAAACTTGAAGAAAGTAAAATATAGTTGGCCTATTAGTTCTAAATGTAGGACGCAAAATCATTTATGGATGCTATTCCGAATCCAAAATACAACAAGTGCAAGGGAAGATAATAGAGTTGTGCATCATCCATCTTGCTCGCTTTGTGTTGTTGGTGGGGCATGAGATGATTTGGTTTTATGAGCATCCTAATTTAATTGTTGAGCTCGTTCTAGAGGATTAGCTATACTATAAAATTATGGTATGGAATACTATTTTTTATTTCATCTTGATTGAACACAAGATTTTTATCAGGGCCCAACTTAACCCTATCCTCTTTTGTACGGTTTCTTCCTTGTGAGTTGTTTTTTAACTAAGCACGCAAAGTTGCTTTTACCATGTGGGGTTTGCACAACGCAAGAGCACATGTGTAGGGAAATAGTGTGATTATTGTCGGTGGAAGCCATATAAACAAGCAGTTACCAATTTCCCAAGCGAAACGATTTTGTAGAAAAATTTCTACAGCTACTTTGACACCAAGGTAAGTGGACTACTAGACAAATAAAACCACTTTTTCAAAGTGAATGATGTTTTGCTTCTTTTTGGTAAAGTTTGTTTAAGGAAAGAAAGCAAATTAATTAATAGTTTGGGGTAATATTTGGTAATAGCCAGATCCCCCCACACCTGGATGTGTTGAATGGGCTCGTGATTTTATGTTCCACTTCATTCCATCTTTCTCAGAATGTCGTTCTCGAAGACTTTGCAGTCGTTCATTTGACAATCCTCCATATACTTACTGAGATTTTTAATGGCCAGTAATGTTTTCAAAAACCCTACTTCTCTGTAATGATCATGCAGAAGATGTGTTGATCTTGATACATAAATATTCACCGCATATAATTAAGAACTGGTAGAAGAAATGTTACATGACTGACGTTTCTGCAGCTGCTTTCTTCCACTTCTCACCTCAAAAGAAAAAAAATAAAGCTTTTCTGCGAGCTTCACCTTCACTTACAATTGCATGAGAATGCCGGCGCTTTTCCGGTACGAGATATCACAGGGCAAAGAGAGGCTGAGAGTCTTAAGACCCTTTAGCTCAAAATTCTTATGATTAGGCCGACTGGTCATATTCGGCCTATGGCTGTCTTGTAAGAACCAGGCCCTCAAAAGACCAAGGGAAAAAAAGAGAGAAGATTGACCTTCAAAAATTCGAATTCAGTCCAGAAATCGTGGGTTCCAAGCAATCGCGCGCAAATGGGCTTGGGATTGGTTTGAGCTTAATTTTTTAATTTGTTGAACCACTTGAACTACAAACTTTTCTTTTCGAGCTTGGGTTCAATTAGTGGAAAATCTTGGTTAATTGTAAGCATTGAATGAATATTAAGGCGTAGTATAGCTATCAAGAATAAAAGCTCATGTTATAGGTCTAGTCAAGGAAACCACATGATCTTAATCGTTTGCCCTACTTCAGGGTGATAATATAGGCTAATATAATTTCAAATGTAATAGTTCACTTTTAATAAAAATTAAGAAAGTGTGAAAATTTACTGGAAACATCTTAATAAATTAAGGTTATATTCTTGATCGCTTTGAAACTTTGAACTTAAGATTTTCTTTTTCAGAATGTTGGGAAGCCCAACAATCCTTATTACATTTCATATACAGATTGAATAAAGCTTTCTGACAAAATATATTCATGTCTTACTTTATTTTTTAGGGTAACTACATTTGACACTCTTACGATTTGAAGTGATATTTAAAATCGGCCATAAGATTTCAATCTTCTCACATTGCACCGTAAGGTTTTGTAATTGTATTAATTTATACTTTTTGTCTACTGAATGCCTAATTCTCCATTGAACTTATGAGTTTTTTAGTTAATTTGGTACAAATATGGCATTCATGTCAATCCAATTAGGGGTTACACACTCACCATATCATACATTTAATGAAGATTCAAATAATTTGTTTGACAAAAGACATAAACTGATACAGTTTTAAAACTTCAAAATATAATGTGAAAAAGTTAAAACTTCGTGCTCTAATTTAAAAATCGCCAAAAACCTAACAGGTGCAAAATGTGGTTAGCCCTTATTTTATATACGTATAGAAGCAATGAATATTAGAGTGATATTTGTATACCTTGTGGCCCAATGGTAAGCATTGGCTAACTAAGTAAACTTTGTTTATTTTTTTTATATATACAAGCGACATTGTGAAAGAGGTGAGAATCTCAAATACAATAATGAATACTAAATGTTCTTAAAATAAACCACCTAAACTTGAAACCGAAACCAACAACATTCTTTTTTTTTCCTTCTTATAAAATAATAACTAACTATAGTCTATAGTCAAAAGAGTGTGAATATTGTTTATTTTAAGACATATGACTACTCAAAGCACATATGATTTTTCCTGCTTACACATTTGAAACTTGGAATTCTAAAACCCTAAAGGTATATTCAAAGGTGGATATGGAAATCAAACCAGAATTTTTTCAAACGATAAATTTTGTTAGATTAACTACCAACTGAATTAGAACTCATGCCGTCATGCAAGGGTCAACACTTTTTCATTATTGTGATAAAAGATCACTTGCAAAAATCAAACCAGATAGATTATGACGGATTTTGCATGATTAACTTGAACTAAATATCTTTCCCAAATAAAATATAAAAAATTGAACTAGATACACACAAATACAGACGGAGGTGGATTGTCTACTCTCCCATTTTTATACTCTTCCCATTTCCTTTTGTTTGTGTGGTCACAGTTAAACCACGTCAATATTTTATATTGATTTTTTATAAAAATAATAAAACAAAAAATAATAAGAATATAAAATATTGACGTAGCTTAACTGTGACCACACAAAACAGAAGAGGATGAGAAGAATATGGAAATAGAAGGGCAGACAATCTCCCTCTAATACAGACACAAACACAGGGTGTGAACCGTGTGATGTGATCAATCAAATGGTTGTTGTTTCTTTATCTTTAACTTTATCTTTTTCTCTTTTGCTTTTTTCATCTTTCCGAAACATCAAGGACATTTCTAGCTAGTAGTAGCTGCTGACTTTCTCTTTGTTCACTTGCTCTTTTCTGATTTAGGGTTTCTTTTTTCTTCACTTAGTATAATACATGCGCTCGACGTTTTTTCCCCAAATAATTAAACCTAAAAATATAGATTTTTTAGCTAAAATGATAAAATAATTTTTCACTTTGGTCTCTGACAATGAAAATCTATAGAACTGAACTTTAAGTTTGTTCATTGTAAATCATTTTAGTCACTTTGTGAATAATCTATCAATCTCCTCATTATATTATCACGTGAGTATTTTTGTCAAACCAATCCCTCCACTTAACGAAGATATTGACTTATTTTTCACGGAATTACCAAAATCATTTATGGTAGACAAACGCAGTAATAACTTCTATTGATTTTCAATGTTAGTGATCCAATAGATAAGTTGTATCAATTTTAGTGAGTATTTAGGCTAAAGAGGCAAAAATATATGCCAGTTTTTTTTTTTTTTTTCTAATCATTTTTGGCTCGAAAATGATGTTTTTAAAATTATTAATATTGTACCCATTCAATTTTGGACCACTGATATTAGATAGAGATAGAGTGGGCAACTTTTGTAAACCATTATTTGCTTGAAAGATGAAACAATGATGCTGATTGCTGACATCAATATTATACCACTCCCTATAAAAACAAATTTTTCTTCCTCACTTCCATCCACATCCATTCCACATCATGTTGGTCACATATATCAAATTATTTATTAGTTTCACACATATTTCATGTAAGTTGGCATGAATAATGTGCTCACTTAGTTACATCTGAATTCCAATCCCCCGTTTGACACACATAATTGATAAGAAGAGAAAGAGTTTTTCTATGTAAAATTTAACCTAATTATTCCAAAAATTAACACAACGAATGCATTTCTGGCCACAATTACAGAAACAAAGCAAATTAAGACGGTTGGAACCTTTAATAAATAATAAATAAATTGGTTTTTAGTACAATTGGCATGCAAAATTTGTACATCGGCACAATCTATGGAAATTAAAAGAACTATTCAACCCTCAGCTTTAAGTAAGTTGGAAGCATTCATAGAGATTACAGAAGCAATGTTGGCCAGCACCGATGATGCGGGCCACAAAGAAAAAAAAGGCCCCTTTTGCCTCTTGCTTTCTCTTGCCGCGTCTGCCTTCCACAAAAAGACATACATCACTCTGCCGGTGCTTGGCAATTATGAGATTAAAGTTTAGCGCGTTTAGAGAGCTCCTTGTAATGCACTAATACATGATTACCACTGTTCATCATGGTCTTACCGACGCACGCCTCGTTGACTAAATGACGAGTTCGGATATAGTCGTTAGGGTTAGTCTAAGTGGTGAGTGAAAGTTGGGTAACATATTAGAATTAAGATAGGTTCAGGGTTCGATTGAGTTCAATGAAACAAAGAAAATGATTGGTTGAGATCCAATCCTTGAGTGTTAGTTTAAGTGGTGTCAAAAGTTAGTACCGGGTTAGAATTAACATATGTCTAGAGTCCGATCCCTCCAATGTAACAAAGAAAATGAATTGTCTAAATCAATTGACCTTTGTGACGAGAGAGAGTGGTGAAACTAATAGGAAGGTTTAATTGGTTAATCATGAAATTAACTATAGAAAATGTCAACTAAGTCACCTGGTTAAGCAGATTTTTTCAAGTGTAATGACCTGTTCAAACTAAAACTACATGTAAGACAAAGTAGACTCCTGCACTTTTTCTTAACCAAAAAACACTTCTTACAAATACAAACCATTGGCAGATGATTTAATCAAAACAACAAACAAAAACCACAGAACAAAACGCGCTTCATCATAATTGTAGAGAGAGAGAGAGAGAGAGAGAGAGAGATGCAGTCACCTTGTTTGAAAGAGTTCACAGAATTATGCCTCAGCGCCTGCTGGCCCAACCCCTTACATAAGCAGTCAGCGGAGCACCACCGCACCATATCCAACTCCGGAAGCACTTCTGCCGCTTGCCGCCGTGACTTTGCGGCCACGACTTCATCATCCATCTTCCCAAACACCGAGTTCACCAACCACGAGTCTCTCCCGTCATTGCAGGAGTCCTTCACAGACTTCACAAATGTTTATTCCAAATACCATGAAACTGAAGAAGTTGATCAAATAAGAGCTAAAGAGTACGCCCATCTCTCACAGTCAAACCACACCTGCCTTGATTATATTGGCATCGGCCTCTTCTCATCTTCCCAGATGCACAAGCACGAATCCTCTCCGCAAGTAAGCTCCGATTTCCCCTTCTTTAGTGTATCGTACAAGACAGGGAGTTTGAAGACGCAGCTGCTTCACGGCGGCCAAGAATCAGAGCTTGAATCTGCAATGAGTAACAGGATTATGGAGTTTCTGAATATATCAGCAAATGATTACAGCATGGTTTTCACCGCCAACAGAACATCGGCTTTTAAACTTGTGGCGGAATCTTACCCGTTCAAGACTTGTAGGAAGCTGCTGACAGTGTATGATTATGAGAGTGAGGCAGTGGAAGGGATGATTAACAACTCAGAAAAGAGAGGAGCCAAAGCCATGGCGGCGGAGTTTTCGTGGCCCAGGCTGAGGATTCAATCGGCAAAGTTGAGGAAGATGGTTGTTAGCAAGAGGAAGAAGAAAAAGAAAAGGGGGCTTTTTGTGTTCCCTGTACATTCTAGGATAACAGGCTCCAGATATCCTTATGTATGGATGACCATGGCGCAGGAGAACGGGTGGCATGTCTTGGTTGATGCTTGTGCATTAGGACCAAAAGATATGGACAGCTTCGGCCTCTCGCTCTTTCAACCCGATTTCCTCATTTCTTCTTTCTACAAGATTTGTGGGGAAAACCCTTCTGGCTTTGCATGCCTCTTTGTCAAGAAATCTGTTGTTTCAGTCCTAGAAGTTTCCACAAGTACAGGAATTGTAAATCTTGTCCCGGCAAAGCAATTGCTTCAAATAGCAGGGGATTCTTCTGGTACCGACACAGAGCTGGAGCAGATATGTAGACTTGGCATGCAGCTAGATGCATTAGGCACGGCAAGTTCTTTCTCCGGTCTGATATCCAATCATACAACTCAGGCAAGAAGATTGAAACAAGAACGCTCTGAGAGAGCTGAAGAAGCTGCAAACTGGGAAGAAATCGAAACGTCTTCAGAGTTTTGGAGATCAGAAAAACATGCCAATTTAATGAAGGATGAGAATTCCAGAAGCAGCGGTAATGGGGACCTAGAGGTTGTATGCAGGGGGCTGGATCTAGTGGATTCACTGGGGCTAATGATGATTACTAACAGGGCAAGGTACCTGATCAATTGGCTGGTGAGCTCATTGAAAAAGCTTAAGCATCCTAACAGCGAGGGAATTCCTCTGGTTAAAATCTATGGGCCAAAGATCAAATTCGACAGGGGACCAGCTCTGGCATTCAATGTATATGATTGGAAAGGAGAGAAGGTTGAGCCTATTCTCATACAGAAACTAGCTGACAGAAACAATATTTCTCTTAGCTATGGATTCTTACACAACATTTGGTTCTCGGATAAGTACACTGATGAGAAAGGGAGAATCCTAGAGAAAAGAGAAAGCGGAGTGAAGGGAACGGGTGCTAACAAGTTCAAGGCGAAATCTGATCTAGGAATTACCGTGGTTACAGCTGCACTCGGATTCTTGGCCAACTTTGGAGACGTATACAGGCTTTGGGCTTTTGTTGCACTGTTCCTGGATGCAGACTTTGTGGAGAAGGAGAGATGGAGATATACAGCTCTTAATCAGAAAACAGTTGAAGTGTAAGTAACATCTACACATTTTGTTTATTCTAATTGGTCTGCAAGTGTAGACATTTGCAGAAAACTGATGTATTCCTTCTTCCTCGGAAAGAGTTTCAGAACCTTCCAAATAATTCATTGGCTTGTTACGTGATCTCGTATTTTGTTACCTAAATCTTATCCTTGCAAAAATTCAAGTTTATTACAGAATACTCTAAAGCTCAAATCATCGAATACCCGCTCTGGGCCATTTCCTAAAGTATCAGAATTTATAACATAAAAATAGAGACAAATGAGAGTATATACCTATCTTATCAGGAATGGATGGGGAAAATCCCCTCAAGGTAGACTTGTTTAGCAAGGATGTTCAAAAACATATGGATATCGTCCTTTCGAGGGTGGCTGGTATCTCCAACTACAAATTCATGGGCCTTACCATCGACCTCTATAACACTCGACTCGGGGGACTTCTGTATTCCTTTCTTCTTCGTCAACTTCCTTACCCTTTTTACATCCACCCATCTTCTATTTATGGCATATATGTTTGATAGGAGCACATACGCCCCGCTATCTTGCGGCTTTTTCAGGAGACGGTCTAATATTTCTTGAGAGAGCTCAATGTCACCTTTGGCCTTGCAAGCACTTAGGAGAGCTCCCCATATCAGCACATCAGGTTCCATGGGCATAGTGTTTATCAACTCCCTAGCTTCACCCAGAAGTCCAGCCCTACAGAGCAGATCAACCATGCATCCATAGTGTTCTAACCTTGGGGAAAGAAAAGAATGTAAGGTTGGCTTATCATCTGATAAAAGGACCGACAGCCTTCGTCAACCAAACCAGAATGGCAGCAGGCAGTCAAAATGGCTAGAAATGTCACTGCATTCGGTCTAGTTCCAGACCGAGTCATTTCTTCAAAAGTTTTGAGCGCCTCATGCCCGTGTCCGTGCATTGCTAAACCACCTAACAATCCGTTCCATGTAGAGACATTCCCACAATGCAATCCGAAAGTCTGCAATGCCATAGGTGTACAGCCACACTTTGCATACTGTCAATAAGAGAGGTTCCAATATCGACATCCCATTTGATACCATTACGTTCAATATACTCATGCACCCATCTTCCATAATCAAGAGCCCCAAGACTGCCACAAGCCCAAAGCACACTTAGCAAGAATAATTTTATCAGGCTCAATGCCTAAACTTTGCATATCACGGAGCAATTCATTACATGTAGATTTTTTTTTTAAGTTGTTATGTATTATTCTTGTTTTTTTTTTTAATTTTATAGAGAAGAATTAGACGGAATTAGTTTTTTTTTTTTGTCAAAAGTCGTTTGTGAGGCACCAACTCCCTTCCAAAGGAGAAAGGACCATTGCACTCAGAAAATCCCCGCCTGGTTGTTATTTATTATTCCAAACTCATTATTTTCGTCTTTGTTGTTTTGAGGGTAGGAATTTCCTCACTTTTGTTTTGATCAAACATCATATATGATGTTAATTTTGTTAAAATGAATCCCTTGATTATTTTTCAAAAGAGTAAACTCGTCTTAATATTCCTACTCACAAACTTCGGTTATACTAGTCATTCATGTTCGCAAGAGCGTGGCCCAGTAGTAAAAGACGGATTACGTGACTTCTTTAAAATTAAAAACTGGAGGTCTCGGGTTTGAAACCCGTTGCTGGTGTAGAAGTCAGTGTGGAAGCCAGACTTGTGGCCAGAGAAAGGCTGAAATGCCTCTGTGAGTCTTTCCAGTTCCCGGAAGTAGTGAATAACCATAGCTTATCATCAGTTGTCTTTTTTTTTTTTTAAAGGAAAAAAGAAAAGCCTTCCGAATACAGGCAAAACCCCAAATCCAATCACTGCCAGGCCTTTTGAGCACACACATGTTAATGGGCCTTTAAGATGTAAACTGACCCGGCCTGTTTACCATGTCTTGGTGAGGATTGCCAACAAAACTACAATCAGAAGAACCCCTAATCAAGGGACACGTGTTACGATGGACAGCCTGGAATGATAAAACGATGGGCAGGGACCACCACGATCTATGAGGGGTCAGCAGTAAGAACAAAAGCAGCCGGACCCGAATTCCTATGGACACGTGGTCCGATCGCATGACCGCACTTCGTGGCCCACCTCAATTTTCTTTTGTTGACCCCCACAAAACTTGCACGTGTACAACTCAAATCTAAAGCGACTATTTAGAGCTTTCTAGTGATTAAATCTTTTGCATTATTTTTGTGTGCGGCTTCTGTAATCTTCATAGTAAATTGATGTGTTTCTATAGTCTCTATCATTAATTAATACGTATTAAGTTTATGATAAATTTTAGAATGATTAAATTTGTTAGAGTAATACTAAGAAGATTAGGGTTTGTTTGGTATTTTATTTGAAATTTTTTATCATTTCTCAAAACATTTCTTAAGAACATTTCTTGAAAATAATTTTCTTTAAGACTCAAAAACTTGATTGGTTTGCAATTTAAAATTTTTAAATCTTACGACTTAAACTAGATAAAGAGATCTAAAAAGAGAGGGTCGCAAAAAATGAAGAAAAATGAGAGAGTATGAAAGAAAGTAAGAGATGATTGAATGAAAGTGAAAGAAGAGGGAGGATCAGACAAGATAGAGACTAAGGAGTGAGACAAAAGAACCGAGATAATGAAGAGAACGGATTGAAAGAGTGACGAAAAAGGTAAAAGAAAAAAAAAGATAGATTTGGAGTGAGAGGGGAGGAGAGAGAAAAGAAATGATTGAATTTAAGTTTAAAAACTCTAAAAATCACTTTTTATGTTTTTAGATAATAGATTATTTTTTTAATTAGTTTTGAGTTCAATTTTTTAAAATAATTTTACCAAACAAGTTTGTAAGCCTAAAACTTGAAAATTGTTTATGAGTTTAAAAGGTTGGATTCAAGTAGAATACTAAACATATCCTTAAAGTTTCTGAATCAAGTTTACAAACTAATTATTATGGTTGTATATAATTAAATTATTAATTAACGTCCTTATTTCTCATTTATTACTTTTCTAATAAAATCATTGAGTAGTAGCCGCAAATCATAATTGTTGAATTTGCTTGAGACATTACATGTAGATTGTCGCAGAGTCTCCATTTATTTGATGAGAAATGCAAACTTTGAACCTAAGGCCACAAAGTAGAGGCAAAAGCCGAAGGATTTGATTAGTACAAACCAAAAGAGACAAAAGCAAAAACAGAAATGCTTTTGTGCATCTTACTATAAAGGCCTAAACCCTCTAAAAACCCTAGAAATTAGTTCACTCAAAACTCCGATTCAAGATTCCGAGTATGTCGTTTGTGCATTTGCAGCCTGCCCCATGAACTGAAGCTCCTTCTTATCATAAATCTCCAACGAAAAATCCCTCAGCATCTGAGTGGCGGAGCTCGGCGGAGCATCGGCGGCGGCTGCAGCACTGGTCCCCGAGGCCGAGTCCAAACTGTGTCCCAAACTAGAAGAGCAGGTCCCACCACCACCCGCGGCTGTGCCGCTCGACATCGAACCCGAAGAAGCCTGCAACTGCCCATCTCCGCCGCTAACACCACCAACTTGAACCCCAGGTTGGAATGCAGAGACGAAATCGGACATGGGTCTGGGTTGGAAATTGAAAATCGGCGCCGTGGAATCCGCCGTCGGAATAGCCCAGAGCTGAGGCTGGTTCTGAATCGCCCCGGAGTTCGGAAACATGAAGAAAGGCCCAGCCGCGCCGGTTGCTCCGACTTGCCACATAGGCACCAAGCCACCTCCACCGCCGCCGTACGTCATTGGTGCTATGGGTGCCAACCCACTAGGCAGAGAGTTCTGGTCGTGCGCGTCAATGAACTCACCCGTGGAACCTCTCATCTTCTTTCTCTTATTGGGTATTTCAGTAATTTCACCGTTGGGTCTGGCAGGGGAAGTAGTGGGTATCTTTAGAGTGCCGCCGACAGAGATGGCGATAGCGGGGACGGTACCTGAGCCGGTGGCTTGAATGATAGCAGGCTCGGCGTGCTCCAGTAGCCATCTTATGGTTTCGCCGTCGGACTTGTGGCCGAGTTCCCGGGTCAGTTGAAAAATCCTGGCTGCACACACGGCGGGCATTCGGATCCTCCGGCCCCGGCCCTCCACCTTCGTGTGGCGGTCCTTCGACGACCTCCTAGCCGGTTTCAGCGCCGTAGAAACGGGTACCGGAACAATCCCCATGGACAGAGATCCCTGCGGGTCTAAATGTTGAACTGGGTCCGTCAGCTCTTCCTTCATCGTCAGCGCCGTCGCCGGTGGGTCCGCCACTAATGGGCCAGACGCTGAGGTGGTGGTGTTGTTACTGTCGCCGCCGTGTTCAAGCTCGTTGCTTTCTTCAAGGCTCTGCCTTTGATTCGACTTCATCTTCTCCAAAAATCTGCCGGACTTCAAGAATCTCAGAAAAATTGAACAACCCAGAAAAAACCCAGATGGAAAAACACAAAATCAAGCTGAAAAAACGAGGAACTCAAAAGAATTTAAGAGCAGGAAAAATCTGGGTTAGCTGCAGAAACAGTGCAAGAACAGAGTACGATTTTTTTACTGGGATTTTAAATCTCTCTTCGTACTTTAGGATTAGATTGGATTAATGAACTAATTACGGAAAGAAAAATCAAATACTTGAACAATTATGAAACTGAAAAGGAACAGTAAAATGAAAGGTTGAGAGAGAGGAAACGAACCCTAGAGAGAGAGAATCAGAAGAGCCCCCACTTTTCCTCTTTTTTCTCCTTGCGAGCCCTACCACTGAGGGGGACCCCCCGAAATGCTTTATTTATCTATTTATAGGGGAAGGGAATCCAATCAACGGTTCTGGAATTTGCACACACATCATGACCCATGCAGATGCTGCCACGTTGTTGAGTCTTGTTTTGTGGGTTCCGTACCTTCAGATTAGGACTTACATGCATAGTCGCTTCATTTTGATGAAAAGGATCGTAGCAATCAGAACATGCCACGTGATCATCAAGAGCACTCATCACATGCTTTCCATATTCTGACCAATAAAAGTAGGATTTTATTCCCTCTGTTTTTTGCCCCTTCTCTTCTCTTTCTCATTCTATTTGAACGGTCACGGTTAAGCTATATTAACATTTTATATTAATTTTTTATAAAAAGAGAAAGACAAAATAGAAAATGTGAGAGGAGGAGATGAAAATGGATGAAAAGCGGAGGGAAGAGAATCCTAATCCTTTTATTTCCTTGTTTTGTTTTAAATTGCCTTAATATTTTAGAAAATCTAATGAAAATGACTTGAAAATTTTGAGTTTTAACGATAATAACAAAATAAAGGGTAAATTGAATAGTATCGAGTTTGACTTTTTAGTGTAAAAATGTGGTTTTTGTTAAAGTGAACAGTACTGCGGGCTTTTTGTTAAAACTCTCTAATATTACGTTCGGGTAATACTAGCGAAATTAAATTTACAAATTAAATAATATATCATTTATATGAATAAGAACGTTTATCAACGTGTAACTCATAAATCAATCATCAACTTTCATATCCTTTAGTTTTTAAAACTTTGTCTACAAATTTAATCTCTCTAACATTACTTTTTACAATCACACGAGGATTCGGCAAAAAGAAAATAATTTGCAAAAAAAGAAAAAAAATTTATGACCAAATCACTTGAAAAGTAAGGTAGAAAAAATACTTGTTATACGTCAGAATTTATTCCTAATGAGTGTCAATAAAAGTTTAAAGGCTAGTTTGAAAATATTCTTAAAATGACTAAAAAGCTTTTGATTCAATTGTTTTCGGGATTCAAAAGCACTTGAAGTGTTTTATGCAAAATTCACTTGCATTTTTACTACTGATAAGTTCCAAAATTATTTTTTATAAAAGTGCTTCCGTCATTTTAAATGTATTTCCAAACAAACTCTAAGAATCCGAATAGCATGTGGTTTGGTCATGCTCAAAAAAGCCAAAATTCGTTTAAGTCCACTCAGCTAATGTCTCGGTCTTGCCATGCTTCGATTTTTGTACTTGGATGCTCCTACTAATGTACCAAACATAAAGAGATGTGACCAATGAAGGTGAGTCAGATTAAAATATAAGGAAAATTAATAAAAAATGCTTGAAATTTTTGAATTTTAATGAAAATGACAAAATAAAGGGTAAAATGAATAGTACCATGATTGACTTTTTAGTGTAAAAATGTGATTTTTCATTAAAGTAAACAGTATCGGAAGCTTTTCATTAAAATTCCATAAAATCTAAGGATATGGTTTGTATGCGCATCCTTCCAGGCTGCCTGGACGGGCACAACCGTAAGTCCATTTTGCCTTTGATATGAACAAATGAGTTCGAAGTAAATTCACCCTATTTCTTGTTTTATTTTCTTTGCATTTACGATGAGTCGCAAGAAATTAATAAGAATGTTCCCTAGTTTCTATTTGTTTTATGGAAAAAATCCCTTTAGTAGGTTATGTATAATAATCTTGCAGTACTATGAACTTGTACATTATCCCCACTTTCTCACCAACCGCACGCATAAACTAACCATGATAGATATAAGCCAACAACAACATTATCAGACTTTTAACGATATTCAAATCTGAAATTTGCTTCTTTTGGAATAATCTTCGAGTTTAATCCATCCAACAAAACGTTGATCCTCCAACTCCAAGGACCAAGAACAGCAACTTAATTAGGTGGATATACTTGGTTTCAAAGCACACAGTACATGCCAAAAGCAGGGTCAAAGTTATACTACACATTATAATTCTGCAGATTGTTTCTCTATTGAGTAGCTTAAAAGTACGATCAATATGCATATAATAATATACATCAAACCCTGAAAATGTATATATACTTGTTATATATCGATCCCATCAAAATTTCTATCAGCACCTTCAAATCTAAACCCTAATTCCTATCTCAATTTGTCCCTGAGATAATGGCTGTGTTTGCACCAAAAACAATCTTCCTCTTTCATGCATTCATTTTACTGCTTTCAACTAGGGTTTCAGAATCAAAAGCAGCGCTCAGTGCTTACTACTACGGTCAAACGTGTCCACAAGCTGAGAGAATCATATTACAAGCGGTGTATAATGCTTCCATGCATGACCCTAAAGTCCCATCTAAGGATGTTCTTCCATGATTGTTTCATAAGGGTACAATCTCTCTCTCTCTCTCTCTCTCTCTCTCTCTAATATATACAAGTCCTTTTTTTTAGCAGGGCGCCCTTTCACTGTTCATGGAACAGGATAAAAATAATCTCAAGTTGTCTGTATGGTGACCATGTACTGCCTACATAACATCGCTTTATACAGTAGAGCTATAAAAAAAAAAGGCAAAAACACTAAATCATGGATATTCACTAGCTATGTGGTCAATACTTAGTAACTATATAAGCACTATGGGGTGCGTTTGTTGCGCCAGACTGTCTCGGACTAGACTAACTGCAGGGATTAAGCTGGACTGACTTAGACTAGACTAAGCTAGACTAACTTAATGAAGCGTTTGGTGCAGTGTCGGACTAAGAAGCAGGATAATGGATTTTTTTTTTTTTGAAACTATTGAAAATTAACATTAGCCAATTGACATTTTTAATTTACTTTTGCCTTTAAAAAACAAATATTATTATGTCATTCCATAAAAAACTATCTTCTACCATTGGAAGAAGAGAACCAACTCACAAACCAACCACATTTCTCAAACTTCTGGATTCCCCATTCTTTTGTCAATCTCTCTCTCTCTCTCACTCTTCACTTCCTCTCACAATCAACTACACCCACTTCAAATCCCATGGCAAGCTCATCCCACTCGCCACTAATAATCAACATCACCCACTTCACATCCCACGGCAAGCTGAAATTGTGCAGAGGCTTCGTCGGTTCGTCCTCTCGGTACCCATCGCCATGGACTTTGCTGCCTTTGTTTCTCACGCCTCGGAAATTTCTAGGAAGAGAGAAGAATTTTTATTGGGATTGTTGTTTTCGTTTTGCTTTTTTGTTTTGAATATGGGCATGGGTGGGTTGGGTTTCAAATTTGGGTTTAAGATCTGGGCATGGAGGCAAATGGGGTTGCAGAGAGGCATGCTTGTAGACGACACTGTTGCACACAACGCAAGCTCGGAGATGGGATTAGCAATCCCAAACGTTTTGAGGGGCCTCGCTAAGACCACGCAGTGAAGGACTTAGTCGGCACGAGTCCGACTTAGTCCCATTAAACTTTGTCCCGCTTGCACCAAACACTGGACTAGTAAGCCAGTCTAGTCCAGTGAAACTTAAGAAGGTCAAACAAACGGGGCCTAGTTGTACTATAGTATCCTACTCCGAGAACGGTGGAACGAGATCCCTGCTAAGAAGCTTGGTCTATATATTGTATAAAAGTTGTGTAGAATTAATCTATGTTGATCTAGGGATGCGATGCGTCGTTGCTACTAGACTCAACCGCAGGAAACCAAGCAGAGAAAGATGGCCCTCCCAATATCTCAGTCCGATCATTCTATGTGATAGACGATGCCAAAGCCAAGCTAGAAGCCGCATGTCCACACACCGTTTCTTGTGCTGATATCGTTGGCATTGCCGCAAGAGATGTAGTGATCATGGTATGTATGCACGCAATTTCCTAGCTACGTACATACTATCCGCTAATCTGAAAGTGTACAGCTAGTACTGTTATCGTTGCAGTATTTCTCATGTTGTGAGACAAATGCTTATATATAGAAGAACCTGACGTGCGTACATTCATTATTGTCATTCCGGAGGTCCGTTTTGGAATGTGCTAAAAGGAAGGAAAGACGGAGGGGTGTCGAAAGCTAATGAGACCATCAATTTACCAGCTCCAACATTCAATGTATCCCAATGGATTCAAAGCTTTGCTAAGAGAGGTTTAGGTGTTAAAGATTTGGTTGCTCTATCTGGTGGCCACACTCTAGGGTTCTCACATTGTTCTTCATTCGAATCCCGGCTTCGGAATTTTAGTTCAGTGCACGATGTCGACCCAACCATGAACAATGAATTTGCTCAGAAGCTAAGAAACAAATGCCCTAAACCAAACAGGGATACCACTGCCGGAGAGTTGTTCGATTCAACTTCCTCAACTTTTGATAACAATTACTACAAGCAATTGGTGGCAGGTAAGGGCGTGTTTGGATCTGATCAAGCGTTGTTTAGTGATTACAGGACTAGATGGATTGTTGAGTCGTTTGCCAAGGATCAAACTGTGTTCTTCAAGGAGTTTGCAGGTTCGATGGTAAATCTTGGAAATGTTGGGCTAATTGAGGATGGTGAAGTGAGACTGAATTGCCGTGTGGTGAATTGATTATGATCACGAAAGGGTAATTGATCAAAGATTTATATTTCTATTGTTTACAATTTGTTCCCGATTTAAATCTCCAATGTAACTTTGATCTTGTATTGAAAATAAAATTTATTTTCCTTATAGGTAAGTTGGTTTTTGCACATACGTTAACACGTCATGCACTTTTTTTTTTCTCTCCACACCCGTCTTTAATCATATTCGGGTTTTCTTTTTCGTTTGTTTTTTTTAATCTAATGATCATAAATAAAGAGAGATGGGTGAAAGAAAGAAAAAAAATGTATAATTATCATTTATATGATACATAAGGGCTCACAATGGACTTCGACGGATTTATATATTTTCATAGAAGGCATAATTACACTTGTTTTTTTTGAGAATTTTATGAATTTTATACAAACATCTATCTCATATCAAATTTGAATTTATGAAATTCTCAAATTAAATGAAGACTAGATGAAACTAGATTAAATGATTGCGTG